ATGTCGCCGCCGAGCAAACATCCACTCGGTCTAATGACTTCCTGACTCCGTCATTCAGTTATATACCCGGGCACATTTTGCTCAGAGATGTACCATGTGATGAACAGCTAATTAGGCTGTTGTGCACAGAGTGTCTTTGCTTACAGAAAAGTGTCTGGAGTTTGTGAGGTGTTCCTCAGGTGCATTGTGAGAGCATAAAACATCCAGACCTTTTGTCGGGTCAAAGAGTAAAATTAGCATGACACTGCTTTCCTGGTGTCCAGTGTTGTAATTCAGGCTCAAGGACTGTGTTTTCATTCTAAAAACAACAATTAATCAAAGTAACATGCTAAATAGCGATATATTGTTCCCTTCCCATTGTCGATGACTGCTGTAATTCATTCCTAGTACTGTCAGAATGTAGTTCAGGTCGGGATAAACGGGAGAAAATGGAGCATGCGTCAATGATGTGAACTTAATATGATGTTAATTTAATCAACCTGTAAGATCTAAGTGGATTTACACATAGAAACGTCAGAAATAGGAAATGTGTGTAAGATAATGTCCTGTTAAACTCCTAATTACATTAAATATGTGTAAATGAGGCTACGTTTCATTGAATGGCATCCCCAGACGGAGACAGGAAGTTGTTTCCATTTCTATTTCTTGAAATAAAACCTTCAAGGGAATTTTGTGTCTGAAATAACAACCTTTCAATTTTGATTTTCGTACGCCATGATTTTTTTTAAACTTTCCTGGGCACAGAGGCAGTTTCTCATGCTATATTGCCAGAATGTTGCTCATAGTTTCAGCTGGTTTCCCCTGACTCACCCCGTTACGGTGCCTGAGTTTAAAAAGTAGAAAATTCATTTTTGGCAGAGAAGATTTTTGCTGGGAGACTTTTGTTAAATCAGTCTGAAAGAATGAAGCCATAAGCAAGTTCCCAAGGTAAAAGTTATAACAAACATTAGATGCTTTTTTTCTCTCTGACATATGCCAGTTAATGGTCAATTGGCTCACTCTTCTTTACAGACTTACAGATACAGAAAAGATTCGAGTAGAAAAACTATTTCTTCAAGCAGGTGATTAATGTATCACATCTGTGTAGACCTGGGGTGGAATTGGACCATAGTCCATACTGTGGACACTCACGGCCTTATTCATTTTATGTTCTCCGCAAAAAACTTTTACCCAAAGAAACATATTGAGTCTGGGGATCAATTGGGGTCCCACACTGGGATTCAAACCTGCAACGTTCTGATTACTGTACCAGTAGCCTAACACACGGAACCACACACCTCACCTGACGGTACCCCTATCAACACCTACACACCTGTCTCTGAGTTGAGTAAAGTTAACATGTGGAAGGGTCTTGAACGCTGGAGTGTTTTTTTTTCCTCTATCTACATCCTCCTACTTCTTCTTCCTTTGCAGTAGTGCCAGCTTACATCTGCCTCACCCGCATGGCTGCCAAATGAGTAAATGTACAGTAGCTCCACTTTGGACTGTTGCTGTGCTGTCCATTACGTCCCCTGGCAAACCACCATCTCCTGTTTTTCTTCCTTCCATTGTCTTATTAAAGCCAGTTCCACCCCCCCTCCCCCCCAGAGCTTCTCCATCAAATACTTTTGATATTTACAGCTACGCGCTTTACCTGTGTGCCCTGTGGCGGCCTGGCATCCCCTCCAGGGTGCTCCGTTGTTGTCGTGCGTCCTGTGTTTCCTGCGACAGGCACCAGGATCACTGCAACCCAGTACCAGATAAGCACTTGTGGAAGATGGATGGATGTACTTTCACTATTATATGACATTAATTGCTTCTATAATGATGTTACTTTATCGTTAGCTTTGATAAGTGCTTTGGGGAAATTATGCCGGATGTGTGGTATATAAAAACAAAATTGAATATGTATGGACTGAAAACGTATTCACCAAAGATGACAAAATTACTTAAAAATGGACAAATCTGTTAATTACAATATGTTAATTTGTGACAATTCCCTCTTTGGCCTGTGGTGGAGCGTCTGCCAAAGCTGCTGCATGCTCCTGAAGCACCGTGTGGATGAAAACGGCCCCCATTACTGGTGCTGGGGTCAAGCGATCGCAAATGGTTCCCTCCCCGTAGAGATGGAGGTGCTGAGGCAGGAAAAAACACAAAGCGAAGCCGTCAGGTCTGCTTCAGCTGCCCCCCCCCCCCCCACCCCACCCTGAGCTCCAGTGCCCACATCCTGCTGACAGGCATTGACATTGAGCAGGATCACCTTAAAGGTGAAACTCAGGCTTGTTCGTGGCGTCTGTGCCGATGAAACCTGATACACGGGGTTGGGGGGGGGGGGATACAAGGGGCCAGGGGCTAAGGCTGTTGGCGAGGAACACGTCTCATAAGCAGCGACGGCGATATGACCTTTGCAATGAACACGTGACACTGTGAGACACTGCAGGTTGTATTAAGCGACGCAAACAAAAATAAAAATAATATCACGCCGTTGTTCCACGTTTCCGATACCGAGGCCAGAGACGATGATGCCAATGTCGGCATTACCGTATTTTACCGACAGGACGGACGGATTACCGGCCCACAGATCTATCCACAGATTGGCTCCGATTCTGATGCTACACGACGATGGGCTCTCGCACCAAGCAGGTAGCTTTAATAAAGAGCGAATCTAAATGTGTCGGGAATCAATCGGCAGGCTCAATACTCTGCTGGGGAGGCTCATCCCAGGCTCTAAGGTAAGCCTTTATCTCTCTACAAAAGCAGCACGGGTTCCCAGCCTGGGCGAGTTTAACAAAGCACCAGAGAGCGGCTGGGTAAAATCCAAGCACAGTGGGTGACTCTGCTTTTGTCTGGCGAAGCAGTTTGCATTGAAACGACCCCCGTATGATACTCACGGGTCATGCTAGGCCCAAATCTCCTTTCTAAACATTAAACTTTTCTTAAGGCACAGCCAGGCACAAACATACTAAACCTCGTGCTCCTCTTTATCTATTTAAAAAATATTTTATATTTTAAATTGAATATTAATGAAAAATCCATCAAATCCACAAAAATAAATAAATAAGGATTCTGAATTAAAATTCTGTTGTATATTTCTGTTTTATTTTAAACATTCTTTCTTTCATTAATAAAGACCTCACATTGTATTCATGTATGTTGTGTGAGGGATGTATAGGGGACTGAATTCATCAAACATCAAATTCATCACATTCAATTCAAACACTGAGAAAAGGGTCTTCACTGGTGCCACTGGGCCGAGGCACGAGCCCATCGAGTTTCTGCGGATTCGCCCGGAGCCGCTCCTGTCCGCTGCATTTAATCAGAACCTACAGGTGCCTGAGAGATGACAGACGACCTGATGTCATAGCATTACAATCAGAATTAGACCAGCAGGTAAAGGCAACGCAGCACAAAGGCCCCAGATACACTGCATGCTGCTGGGACTCCGCTATAAACAGCTAAAGAGACCTGCATCAGCACCGTGAAGAAACACACCATTGTTATCCTGGATAGATTTATGGTTACATCCACACATGTTTTACGCTCTCCTCTGCAAGATCTGCTTTATGTTTTTTGGGTTTTTAGTACAAAGCGTGTCTGTATTTTCCCCCACGTATTTTCAGATTAGTGTCCAATAATTAGCAGCACCTAAGGTCAGCATCAGGATCAAAACGAGTCCTTAATCCAGCCAAAGAGACCCGGAAATCTAATACGTTCCCATCTTGTCAGTTTCATGCAGCTATTGTATGTTTTCTGCAACAGGTTTACACAGGGACTGAGCCAGGGGCAACACGTGGTTTTCAAACAAACAACATTTGGTATAATTCTGAATTATATAGCGTAGCCCCGGCTGAGCAATTCAGCGCCATAAATTCTTTTGTTGACTTAAAAGCATGGTGTCAGTTCACTTAACCCGTAGGGATTAACAATGCCACATGTCAGTCGTAAACATCTGCACCCTGCCTTTTCATTCCTGGCTTTCCAATAACATAGCCTCGGGGAACAGTTTGGAGTTAAAACAAGCAAAAATTAAATTGCCAGTTGTGAGACTTTTAATATGTACGCTCACATTCACATGAATGGAAAAATATTCTTCCTATAATTTAATTAGTGGTTAATTAAACAGCAATTTGTAGGATCGTTCAAGTTTGTACCTTCCAGAGTGCATATTCATTCCTGAGGTATATCTCTGTGGATATTACACTGGAATAAAATACATTATTTTTAGCATGTTTTTGTTTTTTGAAGCAGATACAAATGAAATTCCACCCATCTTCGAAGAAATTATTCAGGTCAAAGTATGATAAAATAAAATGCTTCTTAGAAATACATTCAGCTGAAATTTTAACAGTATTTGCTTTGACGTTTAAATAATCAAACTGGCCTGTACTGTATAACGTTACGTGCTTCAGTCCGTATGGCGATATGAGGAACAGCTTGTTCCGATACCTGCGCGTTACTGTGAAAATGAAAACATTTACAGCGAATTAGCCTTAATCACAGCGATCAGATTCATTTAGCCACACTGGTCCGGCTCATATCCGTCGCTTACGATTAATTTGGAGGGCCCAGCTAGCCTGGGGGTGGCGTGCCTGCCTGAAGACGACTCTCACGCTAAAGAAACTGTGCTGACCCCATGCCTGTCTTTACAGTAACAGATAAGTCGGGTTTGGGTTGGGTTTGGGGCGGGGGGGGGGGGGGGGCTTGCCAAACCACAGACAGAGAGAGTGAGCGATGCTTCTGTCGGAAAGTGTCACCGCGGTTACAAGGCAACATAAACTGTGCTACTTCATCGGAAAACAATGGGGGACAGGATACTGAATGGGGTTCCATCTACTCGCATCCATTGTCTGCCCGCCTGCCTTTTCTTTCGNCTCGCATCCATTGTCTGCCCGCCTGCCTTTTCTTTCGCTCAGTGCAATGGAGAAAGAGGTGGGATGAAAGGGGGAGGGGGTCTGGCCGTATTCTCTCTCCTATGTCTGTTTGGATGCACAGACGGTTCAGTAGTAATTTGATGTGTCTCCCTGAAGACATTTGATGGATTAAAGCTAAGCGGCTCCCTTTCGAATCACCACCTGATCTCAGCGCCCATAGCCCATATAAAGGGGAGCGTGATTGCTGATCTCAGCTAGTCTGACGCTCTCTCTCTCCCCCTCTCTCTCTCTCTCCCTCTGTCTCTCTCTTTCTCTCCTCCTTCCCATCCCTCTCGCCTACCACACCACAGGAGCTATCCAGTGCTGAACAAGATCCGTTCAAAGACAGGGAGCCAAGCCACGTAACGCTGCTGGTCATCTTTTTTTATTTTTTTTGTGGTTGCCTTTTTTATTCCTGTTTTTTTTTTGGGGGGGAGGCTGTGTTTTTTTTCTTCCTAAAGTTGCATACGGATTACCGCCGCACTGTCTCACTTCGTCGATCCGGGTTCCGCTGCTCTCCGTCTTTCATGTGCGTTTCCTGGGCTTGCCTCACCAACCCGCTGAAACATGCCGCGCTCGTTTTTGGTGAAGAAGATCAAGCTCGACGATTTCTCCTCGTCGGCCGTGGCCGCCTCCAACCCCTACCACCACCATCTGGACGACTCGTACACTTTCGCACGCTCCATCACGGACTCTGTGACGAGCCTGGGCGTCCGGCTCAGTGAGAATGGTGAGTGGGCAGGTCTCCTCTCGCGTCCGTCCGGGTTTCCAGGACTGTCCCTCTGCCATGAGGTTCCTTTTCAGATCAGAACTGGTCAGCGTGCAAAAAGAAAACTAAAAATCATGAAAATAACACATATCTTTTGTTTCATATATAAATATTAAGATATGTTATGTAAATCGAGAAACAGATAGATAGATAGATAGATAGATAGATAGATAGATAGATAGATAGATAGACAGATAGATAGATAGATGTTCAGCTGGCCATGTCATATGTTTCATGTATGAGTATTATTAAAGAATGACCTTCTGGTTATGGCTAGAATAAAAACAGATGTTACATAAAGCCGGATGTCGCTGCATTGGTATCCTAAATAATCCCTCCTGCACCCCCCCCACCCCCCCCAAAGAAAATAGGCTCGCAGACTTTTGTTTTTTGTCTCCGATGATGCGCAAACAATCCAGGTCACAGCACAGCAATGAGCTTGAGCATGTGGCCGGGCTGCGGCTCTCCGCTGCGGACGTGCCCACCTCCCGCACGCTACTCGCGCTCCGAGCCGCTCTGAGCCGCTCCGAGCCGCCCCATTCCGCCTGTTCCTCTTGCTTCTTTTTATTTTTTTAGCGCCTTTGTGTGAGCTTGCATTCCTGGAGACAGAGGGCCGTTGAGGCGCGATGCGTTTGTCCTTAGCTCTTACTGCCCTTGAGTTTTCATCATAGTCCAACCTACCCCCTCACCCCCGCAAACCACCACCTCA